GAGTATTCCTGACAGTGGAAAGCAGCTTTTATAACAGTAACAAATTATTTACAAGAAATATACTATGTTTATTGCTTGATTGTGTGCCTGGTGGTAACCTTGGCTTATCTGGGAAGCAAAGGTTACCACCGGGCACACAATCAAGCAGTAAACGTATGTTAATCAAGGAACTACCAGAGGAGCAAAACAAAACCCCCACCAGCACTGGCAAAGCATGCCACAGTATATAAATAGAGAGCAAACCCCATCTCATTTTAGCACTGAAGATGTTACTTAGCTGGGTAATTAAATGTTTGCAAGAAAAGAACCAAGCTCAGAGAATCCCAAGGACTCCACAGTTTAACCCTGAGCTACACATATTTGCCTCTATTGAGACTGATATTCATTGGCCTGAACTAGCCTAAAAGTGAGGATTATATGCCTCTCATCCACAGGGTGAGATGGGTTATTCCCATCCTCACTATATAAATGATATATGCATGAATAATCAAATTCTGGTTTAGAGTGAATCATGCTCTTACCTCCTATGCTTTGAGCAGGCTGTCCACATTCTATTACTGGTGTTTATCTGTGTAAAAGAATCTGAGAATTACCTGGAAGATGGGGGAGGGGGGAAGAAATGCTGCCTAAGAAATGATTAGATAAAAGGGGAAGGAGCCCCCAACTGAGTAAGGGGCAGAGAAAGGAACTTAAAAAGGACCTGCCCTAACTAATCAGGTGGTAAATAGGGATGGGAGAGATTTGTACTTTCAGACTTGCAAGGTTCTGTTAATGTAGCCTAACAATAAAGTAGAAATAGCTCAACTGGTCGAATTTCCTGTCTGGTTTACCTGGCAGGGCTGACAATCTGTTCTAGTGCAAATTTGCTGTAGTGACAGAGTACGAAGCTTTAGTGATAATATCATAGGTGCCAATCAATTTTGCTGCCAACCTCAGCTATAAAACCATAGGGTTTGTTCCCCCTGCTCCAGCTTGACTTGAAAAGGAAAAGTACATATGGATAAGCGCAATGAAATCCATTCCAAATCATACACATAGTGGTTAAAATATTGCTTTGTGCCTTAGATCTAATCCAGGCAATCATAAAAATAAGTCTGAGTCAGCAAACTATACAGTATATGATGTTCTGTTCCATGTAGAGTTTTTGAAATATTATTTTAATCAATGCAGCTGCAGTGCTTGAAATCTGAACAGGAAGACCCAACAAGTAGATTTTAGTCTCCTACCCCCAGATAGTTTTTCTGCTATTAGTGTTTACTATGGTTTATCTTTTCAGTGCCCAAAACTCCCTAATGAGGTAACTTTGTAAGCAATTTTCATAACAGTAAGTTTAATTGTAGTAAAATGCAATAAATAGAAAAAGAGCAACAGCACAAAGAAAAAGAGAGACAGAAAAATCAATGAAAGCTTAACACAAATTAATCTTTAGATAAATACAAAAGTCTTATTTCATGTGGTATCAAAAATAAATTGGTTGCCTCTACGTGAGCTACCCACAAAAGAAAGCACAAAGATAAGGTGCCAAGGTAATAAAAGGTTCGGCCTTTTCCCACTGCTTCTTTGAATGGATGATGAATAGATTACAAACCACTTCCAATATTAAAACTTGGCAGATTGACATAGAAGGAGCTAGTCCCTATGGCGTCTTCACTGTGTGCTGCTCAGGATTCTAAAGGCCTGAAACAGTATCTTGAACTGGGCTTAGTAACCAGTGGTTTGAAGACTGATGGGAAGAGTTCAATAAACATGATGCTAATTATTAATCTAGCTGCCCTACTTTGTACTCTGTATACTTTTTCTGCTATCTTTGAGCACAGCCTCAAATACAAAACACTCTAATAATCTAACAGGAGGTTATCGCAGCATGAAGTTAACCTGTTATCATAACAAAGCCATCTTTGTCTAGAAAAAGCTGTAATTGGCACAACTGTTTTAGAGTGAAGAGTGTTAGCTTCTTCCAAGGTCATCGGGCTTTAAGGGAACAAAGGATCTATCTCAGTACAGCAGACTTGTTCCTTATGGAGAGAGGCAGCACAGTTCAGAAATGGCAACATATCATTTCCTGAATCAGATTCACTATCTAACAGCACTTTCACATTGTCAGATTAATTGCCACCCACTCAGCTGCTTTCCTCTAGAAATGTTAATGAGTGTTGAATTAGTATAGGGCTCAGAGAAGAGATTAAAATTAAGGTCTTTATTATTATTATTATTGCTACATTCTGCCAGTGCTCAGATCACACAAAGGAACAGAATGAATTGTCCCCAAATTTAATTCCTAGGCTGAATAAAATCAGAAAGGGTTAATTCACTCTGCCTGGCTGCCTCATTGTCAGAACAGACAGGAAACCTATTCTGGAGGGCAAAAACAGATGATGTCACCCTCTATTAATCCTCTACACACCATCGAAGCAACCTCAGAGTATGCTTTTTCTGCTCCATTTCTAAAGTACACTTTTGCATGTTATGTCACCTTGAGCACTTCTGTCCCATTTGGATAATGTGCTTCAGTTCGTTGCAGACTAATTCCAATACTTCATTGGTTTCTTTTCACACTTTCAACGGAGGCAGTGCATTCTCTAATACCTTTCAAAGCTGCCTTTCACAATGGCTATAATTCTTGCCTTGTAAACAGAAGGTCACTAGTTTGAAACCCAGCAGATTTCTTAAGTTACATTTTCCCCTTAGCTTCTTAATTTTTCATGTGTTTTTGTTCCTTAAAGTCCAATGGTGCACCCTTTTATCATTTTTCCATTCATCTGAGATAGAGAGAAATTCCCAAATAACCCAAATAACAAATTGGAGGGATGGTGTTGTTGGTTTTGGTTTTGTTTGCATTTTGATACTTTGTATATATAAATTCAATTTCACTATGTATATATGCATGTACATAGGTACACCCACATATATGCATGCATGCACATGCACATGCATACATATTCATAAAAATATATGTGTTCAGGAAGATCCACCCACAGAAAGGAAAGCAATTGACAGAGCACAGTGGTATGTCCAGTGAGAGAACACGACAGCATACAGTCTAGACTGAATACTTTGCAACCAGCTGCCAAAGTGTCTCAGTCTGGACAAGATCTTCTTAAGCTGGCTGAGAATCAAACCAACACAAAAGCAGTTTAAGTATGGCTATGTGCTAAGACTGGACTAGTAGTACCCTGCATTTTTTTTAAAGAAGAACATATCTACAGGATGTTCTTACCCCTTCCACATCCTCTCTCCCCTAGATAAGGCAGCTAAACTCTAAAAAGAAAAAAAAAAGCTATATAGTGTGTAGAAGGAGTTGTTTAGAAACTATGGGAGGAAAAATGCCAAGTAGAGAAACTGATGGAGAGAAAAACTGGCACTAGTGTAGCCAAGAGGAAGGTGAGATACCACAACTTTCTTGCGTGGTGTCCCATCAACCTTGACAGTACCAAAAGGTCAATCTTTCCAGCCAAAGGACATTATGGAGCAAATACAACTTCCTTTTTTTAAACATATTATTTTGTGAAGAGACTACACACACAAGGAAGAAGTAATGGGAAAACACAAGGAGATAAAACAAGAGGATTACAAAAGGAAGAAAAATGATGTTGGGATCCCTTGTAAAATTCCACATTCAAGGCAGTGCAATCGCACAATAAAAAATTCATCTGGTTGTACCCTTTGTGTGTCCTGATTATGCTGGCTGGGGAATTCTGGGAGTTGAAGTGCACATATCTTAAAGTTCCTGAGGTTGAGAAACACTGATCTAGATTACCAAAAAGTTTGATTCAGTCAGTTCTATCCCCTTCCTCAAATGTATTTGCCCCAATTCTGATCAGATTTAAAAGGTTTAAAAAAGTATTCCTTTCATTTATAAAGAAGTGTGGAAATTAAATGCTATTTCATTGAAATAATTTGCATGAGTAAACATGGCATTTTAATCAGATTAAAAAACAAAAATAGAATGCAAATTTTGTCTGAGTTAACCACTGAAAATGGCATTAACAGCTAAAGTCAATTTGAAAAGGTCCTCTCTTATGTTACCATGTGGGAAACATTCAAGTGGGTCTCCATAAAGCTAATGAAAAATATACTGCTGAGAGAGATCTCTTTTCAATATAGATTTTAAATATTAATAGGAGTATTAATGATATGTTCTTAACTTTGTCCAGCGACATATTGAAAAAGACAATACTATACGATTCCTGTATCAATTTAATATCAATGAAAATGGGATTATTGGTATCGACAGAAGGTTGAGATTGCATAGATGACTAATGTTACTTAGCTTAAGAGTACAATATTCTGAGCTTCTCAAAATGTAAAGGGAAAGCTTCCCTTAAATTTGCATGAACAATGTGGTATCCAGCAATATATTTTATAAAGATTTACACCATGACCTAACAAACTGTGATAACAGAAGTTATCTGCTTTTTCGTAGCTCCGTTCAACAATTCACTACAGTGACCTATTCCAAAATACATAATGTCTTGTCAACAGCAACATGGGGGAATCTATTGCCCAAAGACCAAATCTGCGTTCAGGAAGGCACCAATCAGTTCCACAAAGATTTGAAGCACAAACAGCTCTGCATCTTTAATCCTGGTATCTTCAAGCCTTGAAAGGATTTTTAATGATTTTTGACATTATTTTTCTATTTACATAGTGATTTGGGGGGGGGGGGTGGATATGTCTGGGTGCCCTGAAACACTTCAAAGGCTTTCAGAAGCTTTAGTGTCTATGATAACCTAGGGAGTTGATCTTTTTCTTTGTCTTCACTGAAAACAGACCTTTGATCTATGAAAGAAACTAGGTTGCGCTATCTTACCCGCATGCTGACTTTGTTTGCTCTAGCTCCTTTTGCCTCCTTTCCTCTAAAACTACAAACTTATACAAGCTAAGATTAGGATGACTATACTTTCTGGTTTGACTTGAGACAGTCATGATTTATGTTTGTTGTCCTGATGTTCATCTGGTTTACCATTTGTCCCAGATTTTCAAGCCTCAGGAATACTTACTCTGTTATTGTAAGGCCCCAGGCAGCTGCTGCCTTCTTTCCCACAGCAACGTGCGTGCAAGCCAGTGCTGCAGAGGAGAAAGTGGTGGCACGCACGGCATCACTGAGAAGAATAAGGTGTTGCTGCACAAGCTGGCTCTGTGGGAAAGAAAGCATAGCTGCACAAACCAGGACTAAGGGGAAGAAAGTAGCAGCTGCTGTGGTGGGTGGGGCCTTGAAAAGGAGGCAATAGCAGGGAAAGTGCCTGGTGCCACCTTCCTCTCTCAGCACCAGCTGGCACACTTTCTACTTCTGCTTCCCCTGAGCCTGCTAGTTTGTGCTCTGATGACACAAGAATCAAAGCTGAAACTGCCAGAGGTTCTGTAGGATAGAAAGCGAGGTCAGTGGGAAATCAAAGAGAGGCTGAGAAGTCCCATCATGGAGAAAGTAGTCCATCTGAATGCTTTTGCTACAATGTTTTTATATCATTTGTCTAGAATTATCTATTTTATTGTTTGCTGGTGCTTTTTATTTTGCAATAAACCCTTGTGGCAGAAATGAGCATAAAAAAGCAGAAGCATTGATTCTTTATTTTGTCCTGGACTGACTAGCTCATTCTTCTTGCAGTGAAGTACTCCACAGTACTCTTAGTGACTTTCTGCAAATCCATAATTTAAAGATATTTATCGTTTTTCTGTCATTTTTTTTCAGTGCCCGGCTTTCATAGATGTACATTACCTCTAGAAAACTCATTGCTTTAATTATTCTGATATTTGCTGTCATAGAAATATTTTTAATACGTCATGATATTTTCAAAGTTTATCATTGTCTTCTTCTCTAGAATTAATCCTCCTTTTTCTTTTCAACACACTATTGACTTTTATTTTTGATCCCAAAAAATACAAAACTATCTACCACTTTCAGTTCTTCACCATCAGCTGTGAATTCTTGTTGGCTGTCGTTACTTTTGTCTTCTTGATATTTATCATTAACTCAATTTTTTCACTCTCCATTTTTACTTTCATAATGAGCTCTTCTAAAATTTCTTTACTTGCAACTAACGAAGTGCTGTTATCTGTGTATCTCAAATTGTTAGTGCTTCAACCTCCATTTTTTATTTCAGTTATCATATCTTCTAATCCTGACACTCTTATATTTGCTGCACATGTTAAACAGATGTGGAGGTAATGTGCATCCTTGTTTTACTCTTTTCCCTATTCTCAACCTCCACGTTTCTTAAAAATCAGTTCTTATTGTAGCTTCATGTTTATTTTGCATGTTCCTCAGAACAATAATCAGATAGTCTATCATACCCTTTAACATATTTCTTTAAATAACTGGTCTTTCCAAAATCAAAGGTCTTGGTGTATATCATAAAGCAAAGGAAACTTTTCCTTCTTAAATACTCTTACTCTTTCCATTATCCATCTTCTAATAGCTATCTGATCTCATCTCTCTGCCTTTCTGAAATCTGCTTGATCATTTTGAATTTCTCCATCCATATATGCATAGCATGATTATTCTTTGAAAGTTATTAGGCAAAACATTTCCTGTGTGAGGAAGAGACAGAAGAGAGAAATTACTAAATACTTGCCTCAAGCAAAAGCATATTGAGTATATTTAATACAGCAGGTGGTAGCAGCTAGGCAACCTAAGCTGATCTTGGATAGCTAAAGAAAATGTATGTTAAATCAAATGAAGTTTTTTCTGGGCTTCACTTACTTTTTGGAAAGCGGTTTTCAGAATTCGTGGAAGGCCAGAAATATCCCATGGATTGCAAAAAACTGTAAATGCTTATTTGAAGGGAAATGTATGGTTGGGAAAATTTCTCTGCTGAATTCCTGGAGAAATGAGCATTTCATGCTCAAATAAGATCCACACATGTTAGTTCAGATAATCATTTGCTAGCCTGCTTGATCACAGCATGAATAAAACAGTTACAAGAATCTAACTAAAGATACAGCTAATAGTGAAAGAGTTATCTTTGTGCTGATTCAAATCATCTACTTCAAAGCTATTTTCCTATTTAGTTCTTGAGCATTAGAAATAATTTTATTGTTGACTTCTATGTCATTAAGTGGATACCTACAAAACAATAGCACTTAATAACTTATCAGCTGATAAGCTTCAATTCCAGTGCTACTGAACTGTGCTATCATTTGAAATTACCATTAAAATCACTCAATTTTTGTGAATATTATTGACAATACTAAAATTTAAAAGTGTATGTGTGTGTGTGTGATTTTGACTCTTCAAAAAAAACTGGTCTATTTATTTATAATACTACTCTAAGCTGAATTTATTGGTCCTCCATGACATTATATAGTGAAATTTCTGCTTGGTAATGTCAAAATAATTAAAGCAATTCACTAGGGCTTCTAGAATGGTTTATCTAGAAAGTTAGGCTCTCCCTTTCAATAGCCTTTATTTACAGCTTTGACTTATTAAGCAGGCATGGTAAAACTTAATAGAACTCAACAATATTAAGCTGGGACATACATTCCCACTGGGAGCAAGTAGGAAAAATATTGAATCTTACAAGTATATTGATATAATACATTCACCAGATTGCACAATGCAAAGAAAGAACATTTGTATGGAAAATGTATGGAGATAACAGGGAAGCAGTTTATATGAAACTTTTCTAGCATCTCTTGATTTGCTTTCAATTCAGTCTCCTATGAAATGTGTTAGACAGCAAAGAACAGGGATTCATCAAATAAAGAGAGGTATTCTATATGAGAGTATATTGGGTGGATTCATCAGAACTAGAGCTTAGCATATTAAAATCCACAGTAAATTCTGTTGGGAAGGTAATTGATTAATGAAGAGGAGGAAACATATGAAGTGTCACTCACAGAATACAATACCTGCAAAGAAACTACATTATATCCCAAATAGCCATAGCTTGCTCAAGACAATAGCCTGACTCCCCTAGAGAATGGAACTGCTTTGTGCCACTCTGACAACCTAATATGAGCATATAATGGGGAAAAGAATTACTTTTGTTACCATGGCAAAAGTTGGATTTTTCAAAGAGCTAATGCAGCAGTTCTTCAGCTACTGCTCTTTTCAGAGAAGAATGCAGGCAATAGAAAAAGGGATTATTAGGTTTTTCTGATCTCGATCTCTCTCTCTCAATATCTGTAATATCTTAGCATCAGAAGATGTGGCTTCCAGCACAGGAAAACCAGAAAGAGCAAATATGAGCTTTATGACTCTTCAGTAAACAATTCTCTCTGGGCCACTTCACATCTTACAAAGGTGATTTCAGAATTGATTTGAGAACTGCATCAGTTATAGTAAGTGGGATTCCATGTGATGAAAACTGTGTAATGCAGGTCAGTGTTTTTCAAACTTGCTAACTTTAAGATATGTGGACTTCAACACCCAGAATTCCCCAGCCAGCAGAATTCCCCAGTCACCATTATACATACATACATACTTACATGCATGCATGTATATGTGTGTGTATACATACATATACACAGACACAGACACACACATATTCAGAGAGAAGCACATAGGGAGTATTAGATGAAGGTGTGGATTTATTCTCTATTGCCTCAGAGAGCAGAACCAGAAGCACTGGGTTAAATTTAAAAGGAAGCGGGTTGAGGCTCAGTTCCCAGGAGGAACTATTCCAAAATCCCTTTAGAGGGACCATTACCAAGGCATTTCCTATCCTAGATCTGTTAATGTGATTTTTATTTTCTAAGTAAAACACTTGATCTCTATAAAAGTGCATTCTCTAGCCAATGAAGATTTTTTAAATGTTAGTTTTGTCTGCTAGGGTATGACCTCTCAAACTTAATTTTGTGTCATCTTCATGTTAGATGTGTATTCACTTCCTTCTTCATTCAGCTCTGTAATATAAATATTAAGGAGCACAGGACCTAGCACAGAGGCTCATAAAACCCCTCCCCCCAATACCTCTCTCTATTTTGATGAAGAACCATTGATAAGCACTTTTTGAGTATGATTTTTGAGCCAACTATTATCTCCTTAATTTTTAATGACATCAACTGAGATTTAGGTAGCTTGCTTTTTCTCCTCCTCCCAATCTTTTTATTCTCAAGTACTGTAATTCTGAGAAGTATTTTTGTTTGAAGAACAAAAAAATAAAAATTGCTTTTCATAAACAAGATCACTAAAAAACAGAAGATGATATTAGCAAGACTGGAATAATGTCAAATTTTGTTAAATTACAAAAATATTTAAGGAAACACAAATAACTGTGTATTTTAATAGGCATGGAATGTTGACTGACAGTTAAAGGAGAAAAGTGGAGAATAATGATGGTGGGCATGGTTGGAATTCTTTAAAAAGCATTCTGCACTATAACATTTTATTTCAGATATGACAGAAAGTTTTGAGGATGGATACTCTACTTTCTATGTAGGTTCAGCTATAGCTTGCCAGTTGTGTGGTTGATATATATTTATTCAATATATTTATTGAATATATTTATTTATATTTATATATAATATAAATATGTATACATTCATTGATCTCCTCTTCTCCAGGAGCTCAAAGCACTGTTCCAGTTTTTCCACTAATAACAATCCTGTTAAATTGGTTAAGTTGCTGAGAGATGGTGGCTGGCCAAAAGTCCCCTAGTGAACTCCTACAGCTTCCCAATCTTTCCTTACCCCTACAGTGCACTGTACATGTTTTGCTGTGCTTTAAAATCAGTGCTGTTCCATTCCCAAGTACTATATGAACAAGAAGCAGTTAACAGAATCCACTCCAGAAATGCCTGAGTACATAAGAAAAGAACAAGATTTCTGTTTTACTAGCATTGGGCACTCTAATATGCTAGTAAAGATTCAAAAGGGATATTTGCAAGTTAATGATAATATAGTCTATGTACAACATCTTGTACACACCTATATGCAGCACATTAACCAATGCAAAAGGACAAAAGACAGATTTTTCCTCCCAATGCAAGATATATTATAGCTTTTTTTGCCATCTTCATTTTTCCCATGCTGATGCCTTGATGGAGGTTACTAGGCTTGTCAATTGATATAAAAACTGATGAACCCTGGAAAATTGTACAACAGATTCATTAGTGATCACTGCAGTTGATAGCTCTTTGCAGCAAACTGCACAGATGAAATAACATACATCGGCTGTCATCTTGCTACCTAATGCAAGATCCATGAATTTACAGCAAAAAATCTACCAGGTCGGTCTGCTCAATTTACCCAACCTTTCATATCATGACTAGCTATAAAATGCACTTTAGTCTCACTTTATGTAGATTCCCCATAAAGCACAGCTGCTAAAATAATATTCATAGAGCCAGTTAATATACAATTGCTTTTCAGAGCTGTGAAAAATCTATGCATGTCTAAACAGCTTCAGGTGGTCATACACGTGGCAATTCTTCTACCCATTCTTGAAGGAGAAATCAATGTATATCATTGTATAGAGACTCACATACACACTTTGCATCACATTTCTGGATGGGCAGTATGTGAATTTTCCATTATTCATCATTTTTCCTGCCATTGCTATTCCACTATTTTCAGGTGCCCATCTGTTATATAAACTAATGATTAAATATTAACTTTTCTACCTTCATTATGCAAGTTGCAATATTATGTATGTATGAGCTAAAAAATAAAAGGAGGGTAGGCAGTCTGATGCTTGGACTACCATTCTCACAATTCTGTGCTACTAGCATTGCATGTTGGGGCTTATGGGAGCTGAAATACAAACTGTCTCTTCCTGGACTTAAGGTAGTTGCCTTTAGAGAGAATAGGCACCGTTAAGAAGGGAAGTAGCAGATGAGCAAAAGGCTACAGGCAAACCTTCTCATTTACAACCAACTTGTGCATGGGGAAGATTCAATTATAAATCAAGTTGGCATTTAGCAGTAGTATAAATAGACAGAAAAAAAGCTGCTTAGGCAATTTCAGACACTCTAGTTGAGGAAAAAACAAGAAAAGGACATTGTGGCTGCCAGTTTCATTTGCAGCCTTGTATTTAGGGCATTGGTAAGTAATTTGCCCTAGGGTTTTTTGTTTTTTTTAATTAGGACCCCTGAAACCCTTTCTGGTCACTGAAAATTTCTTTCACCCTGAGATGGGAAATACATCTCTGATGTACTATTATGTTCATTTCATCCCTCAGCGAGCAAGAACTGATGATCCTGAAATTAGTTATACATAGAAAATATGTTATTTTATTTTCCTTAGAGAACCTTACATTTGAACCTGAAACAAATTATTTCTTACAGCTGTTAAAGGGGCTGGGAGAAGAGGATATGGGCAGGACGCTGTATAAAGGTGAAATAGGCTGGCATAGGGGGGGGTGACATTGATAAGGAAAGCAACTTTGAAAAGATAAAGAAAAATGAGCAGTAAAGGAAAGGAAAAGGATTTGGAGAAATGGAGCAAGAAGAGAATTATTTTGTGCAAATTAAATTTAAATTAGAAAGGATGACACTCACTCTGATCTTGTCAGCTGAAGTATTATTTTCTATGAGCGGGTGGTAATAAGAAAGATATACATATACCAATGTCTGTAAACCTGCTTCCTCCTTTTGGCTAGTAATAATAGAGCTGCTACTACTGGCTATTTATCAGGAGGACAAATAAACATGAAAGTTACAGACAGAAAACACACCAGCTCTATTAAAGTGGCAACTGTACTAAGAGGAGGGTAGTGGTAAGAAAAACTATAAAAAGCTGGACCTCTGAGGGGTGTCTCTTAACCCAATCCTTCCGCTCTTAGTCAATCCTTCTTTGAAGCAGGGCGCAGAACCGAATATTCTTTGCTTTGTATGCTGTTCCTCTGCTCCTGTACATGTTCCCTTCTGAATGCACAAGCACAGAGCAGATGTCTTCAAAGGCAACAATCACTCTAGCTTAAGGAAAGTAAATAATCTGAGACAGGACTTACACGAAAGGTTCTATGAAACGTAGGACCTTTGTCCCTTTTTTATCTCAGACAGTGGAAATCACTGTAATGCTTCATTTAGAGTAACAGCCATCATGTACACCAGGTTGGCCAAACCTGTCAAGCTGGATTTTGCTCATTTCTTTTTTCAACTTAAAGTTTATTCCATACCATTTCTGTCTTGGCTTCATTTAAAAAAACAGGTTGCATGGAAATATATATCCCATTTGGGTGTGTGTTTTCTTTCCTAATATATTAATATTTTTATGACTTTTTTCTGAACCAAAAGCTTTTTGGTATTAACTTGTTCCTAATTTTAGGGATGCAGAGATTAACCCAGAAACTTCAGAAACAGTCTCCTGTAGATGGTCTAGAGTACCGAATCCGGTCTGATGCTTGGATTTGGAGTGAAAATTTTAAAAGAAAATAAAATAGAGCTCTATTCTTCCATAAAAACTATCTAACATATTTATGATTTTTTCAGAAGAATGGAATGAAAATTTCAGGCAAATCTGGAATAATGAAGCATGAAATATGCTAATTTTCACCCCCCCCAAAAAAATCAGGGGAAGTTTGGCTAAATTGTTTTAAAAGCTGACTTTTTAAAAAGAAAGTGTCTTTTTTAAAAAAAGGGGGGGTAGGATTTCATTAAATTTATAAAAATAGTATAAAATTTGGCTCAGCTGCGCAACACACACAATGCTGGGAGAACCAAAGGTGTGGGCTGATTTCAAGGGTGGTGCAAAGGCCTTGTGTTGAAATGCTCTATATATTGCACATGACTAAGGATTCCTTAGATCATTGCTAGTTAAACGTTTGGCTGGACTTCAATACTGAGAACAATTTTATGAAAAATTCATGCCAAATTTCAGTCTGATAAATTAAATGATATTTGTGGCGGGGAGGGAAGAGGTCTCTCAAGGAAAGATGATGTAGTTTGGCGATTATTAGGGTTGAGGAGATATGCAATGGATTAGTCTACTATCTTTTCCATTTACATGGAGCTACCAAACAGCAGAACTAAAAAATCTCCCCATCTTCCAAGAAGCTTAGCAGTTATGGCTTTAGGAGAATGCTTCTGCTTTGAAAGGAAGCCTGTTCATTCCTGAAATCCAATACTCTATTTTTCTCCTCCAGACCATGAGTTTTTTTTAATAAAATACACAAGCACTGTTGTTTTATTTATTTATCTGCAAAGAAGCATATAGATCAGGACTGGAGCTTCAGTGAGGTTCCAGGCTTTACAGTTCCATCCAGAAGATATGAAAATCTTTACACCCAACACACAACTTGACCTTTAAGATTTGAATTTGTAAAAGTGGAGATACTAGTACATAACTGCATTCTGGTGTATATATAATTTTGAAAATTGTTCTCAGTATTGAAGTCCAGCCAAATGTTTAACTAGCAATGATCTAAGGAATCCTTAGTTATGTGCAATACATAGAGCATTTCAACAAAAGGCCTTTGCACCACCCTTGAAATCAGCCCATATCTTTGGTTCTCCCAGCATTGTGTGTGTTACGCAGCTGAGCTAATTTATTTTCAGCTCAGCTGCAGTGTAACC